CATATTCGCTTCAGGAAGCGGAGCTGACCCTGTGGGACGGGCTTCATGATTTTTCAGCAAAAGGGTATTATGTTGCTCAGCCACCAGAAGGCATGAGATCAATTCAGAATACTTTTTAAAACCCCTTTCACAGTATTGCTGTTGTAGTACCATATTTGAGGCATGAAAAGTTGTAAGAGTCTTTTCCAACAAATCCTCATCATTCATAACATCCCACATAATTTCAATTGGGAAGTTTTTCGAAATACAACAGAGTTATACTCACTTACGGTCTTAAAATCTTGCAACCGTAGGTGCATCCACTCATATCGAACCCTTGGCAATACCGTAGCCTTAAGGTGATCATACCTTTCCTTCAGGACAGTCCACAATTCAAGTGGATCTTTCACTGCCAAATATTCAACCTTCAAACCTTCATCCAAATGATGACGAAGGAAAATCATGGCCTTCGCTTTGTCTTGGCTTGATGCCTCATTACCCTGAGTAATGGTGTTACCAAAGCCTTTAGCGGCTAAGTGAATCTCAGCATCGAGAACCCATGATAGATAATTCTTTCCAGAAATGTCAAGTGCCACAAATTCAAGTTTTGACAAATTCGACATAGTAAAACTATCAAAGATGATAAATAATTAGAAATCATTAGGATAATAGCATAAGGAATCTTAAAAATTGACATAATATCAAATTTGTGATCTATATACACTAAAGTGATAATTCCATAGAAAAGAATACTATTTGTTTCTTCAAATTATTAGTATATCTTTGATGTTAACTAGAACAAAAATGTCTTCTAACTTTAACACAATTTTAAATGTCGAACAACATAAAATAAGTATTCTTCTCTCAATTAATTCATTAACATGAAAATTAGCAACTTTCACATGACAATCATACAAATAACTTAAAATAAAGAAATATAGAATTCTTTATTTTTACACATATCTAGAGATGTGAGAAATTATAAAACTGCATATTAAAGACACTAATCATGAAATCAAAATATACAACGAAGAAAACAAAATGAACAAATATACCTGAACAACAAAAAGAGCTCAACTTCGTGCTGTTAACATATTAAGAAATGTAGCTCAAAGTAACAATATAAAACAAGTAGATAAGTAGAATAAGAGAAGAAGAGATAACTTTCTTATTTCATTTAGTGTTCAAGTGTATTCCACCTCACGTTTCATGCCTCTATTTATAATATTACATATGAAAGTTACAAAATGATTGTCTTAAACATGACATTAATAATTAAGATCATGGGGAAGATCATGGAGAGAGGTTATGGAGGTGTGAGAGTTACAATCATAATAGTGATGAGTATTGGGAGGTTATTTACATCCATATTAACTACTATAAGTTTTACAACTGGAAACGTGTATTAGTAGTATTTTCATAGTATTAGCCTATTCCGAATTAAAACGTGCTTAGTCCTTCAAACTATTTATTTACAAATTATTGTGCTCTGAAACCCGAATGAATTTGGAAACCAAAAAAAAAAAAGAAAGAAGAAAATTTGTATCCGAATCCAATCTCTATTGGGAAATAGAAACAAATATAAAAGGGAAAACCTAAGTACCAAACTTAACTTTCTCCCAATTGTTTTCTATAAACTTTAACGCATTCTTCAACTCTTGACCATGGAGATGGAGAGATATTCATTGAGGAGAGAAGAGAGGAAAAGAGAAGATACATCAGTCGAATACGAGAGGATGAGTTGGGATGCTCTCAGGAAGAGTATCAATGGATTGATGAATAAGGTGAACGCAATCAACATTAAAAACGTTATCCCTGAATTGTTTTTATTCGAGGTAGAGGTTTATTTTGCAGGTACGTCATCAAATCCCAAATCGCTTCTCCAATTTTCACTGACGTCTACGCTGCTGTCGTCGCCGTCGTAAACAGCAAAATCCCTATAATCGGAGATCTTTTGATGAGAAGAATTATACTTCAACTAAAAAAACCTGCTAATAAGCCACAGTTATTAGCATCCGTCAAGTTTATTGCTCATCTCGTCAATCAGCAAGTCGTTCACGAAATTATTGCTTTGCAATTACTTACAGTTTTTCTGGAGAATCCAACTGAAGATAGTGTTGAGGTTGCAGTTAGTTTTGTTACTGAATGCGGTTCAATTCTTCAGGATCTCTGTCCCTTAGGGTTACACGCTATTTTTGAGCGGTTTAGAGATATACTTCATGAAGGAAAAATAGATAAAAGGATTCAGTTTTTAATTGAAAACCTTTTTGCATTGAGAAAAGCAAAGTTTCAGGGATACCCTGCTGTTCGTCCTGAACTTGACTTAGTTGAGCTGGAAGATCAATTAACACATGAAATCTCTCTCTCAGATAAAGTAGATTCAGAAATTGCTTTAGATGTTTTTAAGCCGGATCCTAATTTTGCAGAAAACGAAAAAAAATATGAAGTATTAAAGAAGATGATACTAGGTGAAGAATCTGAGGAAGAAGAAGATTCCGATGCACAATCAGATGAAGAGGATGACGAGGAGAAAACGGAAATAAAAGACGAGACAGAAACAAACTTGATCAATCTTCTTAGGACGATTTACCAGACGATTATGTCAAGTGTTGATTTTGAAGAAGCAGGGCATAAGCTAATGAAATTAAGACTAGAGCCTGGTCAGGAGATGGAATTATGTGTAATGTTATTGGAGTGTTGCAGTCAAGAGCGGACTTATCTCCGTTACTATGGGCATTTGGGTCAGCGTTTTTGTATGATCAATAAAGTTTACCAGGAGAACTTTGATAAATGTTTTGTGCAGCAGTACTCCATGATTCACCGTCTTGAAACTAATAAACTGCGCAATGTGGCTAAGTTCTTCGCTCATTTGCTTGCTGCTGATGTGCTGCCTTGGCATCTTTTGGCTTATATAAGGTTGACGGAAGAGGACACTACGTCTTCTTCTCGTATATTTATCAAGATTCTATTCCAGGAGTTGGCAGAGCAGCTTGGCATCCGTTTATTGAATGAGCGTCTTAATGATCCCACTATGCAGCAGTCTTTTGAGTCAATATATCCAAAGGATAATCCGAAGAATATGAGGTTTGCTATCAACTTCTTCACTTCCATTGGTCTAGGTGGGATAACTGAAAATCTGCGAGAGAATTTAAAGAACATGTCAAGACCTATCATGCAGGAACAAAAGCCTGTCTCTAAATCAGGTGAATATGAGAGTTCAAGCTCTGATTCAGAATCTTTGGGTTCTGAATCAGAATCAGGTAGTGATGGTGAAAGTGATGATCGCCGAAGGAAGAGGAGGAGAAGAAGTTAGGGATTTCAGATTGACAAAGTGTTTCAAGTCTGATACTGTAGTTATGTTTTTTGTATTTCATTTCAATTCATTTCTGTTGTCTGATATTCGAAAAAAGCTAGTTACGCTGGTGTTGTTATCAGAGACGACTGTACAATAAGTCATTAATGCTAATTCATGCTATAAATTCTTGAAAAAATTAGTTAAGAGTACACATATGTTAATATGATTCTTAAACTCCTTACACATGCCAACAACAGTTGCCCTAGTTAAATAATTTAGAATAGATTTCCGATGATCCGTATGCCTGCTCCCGGTGTTGGTTTCTCATAGACCAATATTCTTCATTACATTTTTCTCCTAGCATTTGATCATAAAAGCAAAATTCTTTGTTGTTCTTGTGGGCAGAACCTTGTCAAAAGGTGTGATGTTATAGAATGTGATGCACTGGTTGTTGTTGGAGTTCACAGACCATTAAGTTAATTGGATTTTCTTTGTTTTGATCATGTCCATACTTCATTGTAAGCATTCTAGATGTAGTGCAGCACTGCAAAAGAGTTGTACTGCAGTCCTTTGATGTGACTCACAATGGGAAAATGAGGTGAAATAATCATATTGACCAAAGTGATTTTAGGTCTTTCTTGATCTTTTAAGAAAACTTTTTTCTATGTGATTAAGGTCTACCTCTTCCATTCTTAGCAACTCTCAACCACCATAGTGTTGCACCAACAGATCAGCTGGCCTCATAACCATTCTATAGAACTTGACTTTTTCTTTTGTTAGGTATAATTCTATCGTTTAACACTTCCATAGACACTTATATTATATCTTTATCCATCATGTCATTCTGCTAGAAGACTAAGTAAAGCAATCTAGCCATTTAGTCATTAAAAACAACCACAAACTTGTTGCCCAAGATGTCAACTACCTTGGAGGCTACGGTTTTTGTTGCTCTTTTTTTAATATAAAAAAACAGCAGCAACATGGAAGCAAGCTAACAATAAAAGGAGCATATTTTAAGTTCTAGAGTCATCCTCTTCATCCATTCTACAAACATGGGTCGTCAGAAAAAAAAGGAGAAGCTTGTCAAACATCAAGAAAAGGTTAAAAGCTTTGTACAGCCATGGCCAGATCTCCCTCAACAGCTCCTCAATATTATTGGAAGGCAAGATTCTGATAAACCTGATCTAATGCAAAACATCAGTTTCCGTGGTGTTACTAAAATATGGAGAGCAGCACCTAAGCGATGTAGTGCCAATGCACGATTACCATGGCTTGAAATTTCCGACAAAGATTACTACCAGTCCAAGACTCAGATTCATATTCTCAGCATCTCGTTTCGACCAGTATATTGGTGGTACGATAGAAAATGGCATGATCGTTGGAACCATTACCATGGCTGTTCATATGGGTTGATTGTCGGTGGTGGGAAGGATCCTGCGAAGTACTGTCTCTTTAGTCCTGCTGCAAGATCCTTTGACAGATGTTGGAGTATTCCCCCTTGGGATGCCAGAATATCATTCAAATTTGCAACTCTGTCTTCACCTCCTTTCAACAATTACAAGGGCTGTTCTGTGATGGTGTTAACAGGTTGTTCCAATCCAGCTTTCCTGGTTTCTCATGTAGGATACCAGAATGAATGGATGAAACAAACAAGCAGTCTTGTCGATCCAAATTGTTCAAAAAGACAACTTATGATATTTTCTAACGCCATCGTCTTTGAAGGGAAGTTTTATGCATTGAGTTTGCAGGGTACTTTAGCAGTAATTGAAGAAATTGAATCCAAGTTTCAAGTTACTAAATTAAGCAGAAGCCGGGCTGTTCCATCAGTTTCCTCAAAACACTTCACTGAGTATATTCTTGAATCCAATGGAGAGATCTTGTTGATTTTCTTGATATCAGAACAATCAACTAAGAAAGTGGACAAAGTGGAAGTATTCAAGCTACAGATGGATGATCTATCATTGGTAAAGGTGGATAATCTTGGAAATAGAACATTGTTTGCAGGGGCTAATAGTTGTATGTCAGTTAATGCAAGTCAACTGGGCTGCAGAAGCAACTGTGTCTATTTTAATGAGGATGCGACTACTTGGCAGTTTTATGAAATGGAAAGTGCCAGTATTTTGCCATGTTTTGATGACTATGGTTCTGAAACAAAAAGTCCAGTATGGGAAGAGCCATTAGTGGAAAATAATTGCTTGTAAGATGAAAAAAAGTGTCAAATTCAGATTTCACTAGTTTATGTTGATAACCATGCTGATATGAGCACCACCTATCTATTCAACTTAGTCTACCTATAATGATAGTGATAAATATATTAATTCAAGAAGTCAACTATGTCAAATCTTGGAGTCTACGGCAAATAAAATAAATACTAGCTGGAACAGGGAGTCTTAGATTATAAATGCTTTTTTGGATGGTCAGACAAGCTCCAAAATTAGTCATAATTCCATCTGGTTTGTTACTGTGAGGCTAACAATTCCGATAAGAACATGCCTATTCATTTATAAACTAAAATTAACCGTGCAGTTTCTCTAAGTAATTTGGTTGTGAAATACATTACTTCCACTTGCTAATGCAGAAGCAGATTTTATTAATGTTAACTGTGAAAACTTTTGACAGCCTATCGCGGCTGTTTCTTTCTTCAAGAGTCTCATATGTACAATAAGCATTCTTTGCAAGCTTGCAACAGAGTTCAACATTCAGCAAAATTCTTCTTCTATCAACAAGAACTCAGAACTCATGATATTGGCATCAACACTTTGCCATTAGTTTGCAACTCCTTGTTACTGCTATCCTCATTCACTGAGTTCACAACTACATTTGTCAGCTTACACGGTTCGGCCTCTTCTAGCATATGAACTACCATCCTCATGGACGGTCTTAATGCTGGTGTCCTAGCTGTGCAATGAACTGCAATTCTAAGAACCTCGACAGCATCTTCTTTAAACCCCTCAAAAATGCTCGAGTCCAACAAGTCAATCATGCTTGTTTTGTTTCTTATCTTGCTACATACCCACTGGACTATGTCATTGTTCTCCCCATACTCAGCATCCACCGGCTTCTTTCCAGTCACCAATTCCATTAGTACAACCCCGAAGCTGTAGACATCACTCTTCTCGGTCACCTTGGTTGTGTAAGCATACTCTTTTGTCCCAAACAATAAAGAAAATAACAACAATTAGAAACTTGCCAAAAATTGTTCAAGTAAAAATGACATGAAAAGAGAAAAATCTGTACCAGGAGCAATGTAGCCATGTGTCCCAGCTACAACCTGAGAAGAGTCTTTAGTACCATTGACCTGCAAAACCTTAGCTAGTCCAAAATCAGCAATTTTGGGCTTCATCTTTTCATCCAACAAGATGTTGCTAGACTTGACATCACGGTGCATAACAGGTCTGTCATACCCGTGATGCAGATACTCCAGCCCCCGAGCACCACCTAATGCAATGTCATATCGCACCAACCAATCCATCTTGACTTTCTGCGATGTGTGCAATCGGTCCCATAAGCTTCCATTAGGTAAGTATTCATAAACCAACAGATTTGAGTCCTCACTTGTGATGCTACAATACAATTTGACAACATTGACATGCCTAATGGAGCTTAATGTATTCACCTCAGCATCATACTCCTTTGATCTGCCATTCCCCTTTGCCAGTATAGCTGAGCTGCTCCGGTAACTCTTCTCGTCAGTAGAATCGGATTTCAAAATGTGTTTCACAGCTAATTTTTTTCCACAATTCAACACTACTTTGTACACATTCCCTGAACCTCCTCTACCAATAAAATTGTCTTGCTTCAATGCCTTTAAGACTTGATCTTCACTAAAGCTCAATACATGAAACTGTTTGACATCCCAAGAATCAAGTCTCTTTACAGGAATATCCTGATTATTGTGCTTAAACTTCACATACGCGAAACATGTAAGTGAAAGAACCAGAATAACCACACCAGCTATCAAGCACAATATGACTGTTCTGTGCTCTTTAGATGTGTGAGAATCTGATAAACATGGCCTTAGACTTCCTAAATTCTCACTACAAAGGCCTGGATTTCCCAAAAAGCTATTACTAAAAGCTTTTATTGATAAAGACTCCGGTATGCTACCACTCAACCTGTTGTTTGACAAATCAAGAAGGCTTAATCTTAACGACGAAAGGGTCACTGGAATTCGACCTGAGAGCATGTTATCAGATATATTGAGAGAGTTCAAGTTTGGCAAAGAGCCAAGACTTGCAGGAATTTCACCAGAAAGCGAATTTCCAGCAAGATTAATTTCATTTAGAGAAACACATGATCCGATTGAATCTGGAAGATTTCCAGTAAACAAATTATACTCTAAATGAAGACTATTAAGTTTCTTAAGTTCACCTATTTTTGCTGGAATTTCACCAGAGAACTGATTCGAGCTCAGATTGATGGCTACTAATGAAGAAACTTCTGATATTCTCACTGGTAACTGACCATTGAACCGATTGTTAGCTAAGAACAACTGTGCTAAAGACTTAGCTTCACCAATATTTGATGTCACTGGACCTTCAAATAAATTCAATCTGAGATCAATGATGAGTAAATCTGGCAAACTCCAAATTCCACTAGGGACTACTCCTGAAAGTGAATTGTTGCTAACCCGTAAACGTTGCAACGACAAACAGTTAGCATAATTTGAAGGTATCCCACCACTGAACTTGTTCTGGAGCAGTAAAAGATCAGTCATTTTCCCTTTCTTGCACATATCAGGTGGTATTGGACCAGTCAACAAATTCTCAGAAACATCAATGTATTGAAAGTCTGCCCATGATCCAATCTTTTGAGGAAGAGAACCAGATAACTTATTGGTATACAATGACAATTCTGTTAGAAACTTGAAATCTCCTAATTCAATAGGAATCTCACCAAAAAACTGGTTCTCAAACAGTTGCAAAGATTCAAGAAGAGACAAAGACTTGAGCTCTGAAAGATCACCTTCAAGTTTGTTACTTGAAGCATCAAAATTGACAAGACTACTGAGATTTCCAAATCCCACTGGAAATTTTCCAGTGAGTTCATTTTCATAAAGCTCAAGCTGGTGAAGTTTGGTAAGTTTTGTTATTCCATCTGGGATTTTACCTGACAAGTAATTATATGAAAGCTCAAGATTTTCAAGCAGAGTTAGATTTCCAATACCTTCTGGAATTTGGCCCTCAATACTAGTATTAGTAAGATAAAGCCAATATAACTTATTAAGGTTCAGAATTTCAAGAGGGAAAGGACTTTTGTCAAATAAATTATCACCTAAGCTCAAGAAAGTTAGACTAGTAAGATTTGAAAGTGAAGTCCAAGGAAATGGACCAGAGAATCCACTTTTGTTGATACTCAAGAACTTCAGTTGGGTTAAAGAGGACAAATTTGGAACTTCACCTGAAAAAGAATTGTAACCCAAATCCAAATACTGCAACTTTGTACAGTTTTTTAAGTGATCACTGACTCTACCATACAAGAAGTTAGAACCAAGGGAAAGCTTTTCTAGTGATTTCATAGAGCATAATGAATCAAAAGAGACAACCCCAGATAAGTTCTGTTCAGAAAGATAGATTTCTTTAACCAATTGGCTGGTGGAGTCGCAGATAATTCCAGTGAAGTTGCAAATGCTATTTTCAGGTGTCCATGTATCAAAAAATTGTGAACTTTGTGTTATTTTGAGGGTGGATTTGAATTTCATAAGGAGTTGTAGTTCATCTTGTTGATGGGAAGGAGAAATCAAGATGAAAAAACAGAGTAACAAAAATGGACATGGCCGGAAAAAGTTGGCACCGGCTGACATTTTTTGGCTAGTTGGATGAATAAGGAAGAAAGTTTGGTAGGCTATATTTGACGTTGGTTTAATCTGTGGGAACATGAAATCCACAGGAAAAAAAGAAAAAAAAAAAAAAAAGAGAAAAACTATGAGAATTTGGTCTCAAGAGGGTGGCCATGACGAAGTTTCCATTTCATTGTATTCACACTTAGAAAAAATTCACATGCAGATATGCAGATTGATTGATATTTTACATATGCTGGTCAAATATTGTACCGACCCAATTGATTGCAATATTTTAATTCGTCCTTTTCGTTCATTACTCTCACTTGAATAATCAACAACTTCAAATCATGTGAATATAAACAATTAGGTAGAAAAAAGGAAGTACACTTAAATTTTTTTTGTATAAAAATAATTTTGTTAGAACAAATGATACTTACTCGTATGCTTTAATCAATATATAATTATTAGATATACAGTCAAGACTCTCTATAGTAGCATCCCTAACAACACCTCACTATAAAAGTCAAGTTTTTCTCGAACCAATTTTTATGTTATGTTATAATATATGTTCTGTATAACAACACTTCACTATAACACCCAAAAATATTCGGAACAAACGAGGCTGTTATAGAGAGATTTAACTGTACTATTTAAAATTTTATATTGATATATGGGGGGGTGGGGGGGTGGGGGGAAGGAATAAAGTTTAAAACTTTTTTGTGTAATTTTTTCCCAAGAAACTGAATTTAGGGTAAAGAAGTTTCATTTAAAAAGAATGATCCAAGCGGAGAACAATAGAGACACTTACAATTTATATATGTGTACTTACAAAGATATGATCTAGAAATTAATTTAGCGTAAAGTATAATTTAGAATTCTTGTCTTTAAATAGGGAAGGCGTTATGGCATAACTAATTAAGAGAGATCATTCACATATTAAGATCAACAGTTTCCTTGTCTTTATTTCCAACAATTTTTAAAACTGTAGCTCCTAAATGGGGATAGAGGATTCTAATATAGTACGAACAAATATTCACTGCACTCACTATTTTTTTTATACAATACATACAAACAAAGCATATATTTTTTATTACTTTCAATTTTCTGTATATGCATAATATAATGCATGCATTAATAAATTCAGAGGTTTAGACGTTGCGGATCTGTCTCAAAGAGATGAATATCGAAGTCGCGAGCCCCTGATTTGATCTGTGGCTGTATGCATACCTTCGGTAGCCCCATGAATTAAGTAGGAATTAGAAGATGAAGAAGTACAATTAAGCATTAACTTTTCTTCTATTTTTTTTTTTGAAACCCCAGGAAACCAGCAGCCGCTACAGCCTCTGCTACAGACTCTACACAGAGGCGGATACAAGATTTTAGGTTTATGGGTTCCTACAAAAATCTCGAATTGATATA